GAAGAGATCTGCTAGACAGCTAGCTATAGAAGAAGGTGTATCTCTCCAGGAGGGCCTAGAGCGGTTTCAGCATAAAAATAAGGTGCAGGCAGCTCAGGATACTATCCCTATAGATCCAGTGCTTTCTGCAGTAAGGCCGCGCGTACGAGCGCCACCGCAGTGTTCTAATTGTCATGTTCGAGGACATACTAGAGCTAGATGTCCTAAACCACTTAGTAATTAATTTACATATAGAAATGCAGCTGTTTTGGTGAAAAAGGCTCTAGTAATTGGCCCGCAGACGGAAATCGGTGGCGGGTGGCTATCCCGCTTGTGTGGCCATCCCGCTAGTGAAATACGTTAAATGCTTTTCTAACCATCTCAGTGGATCGAGAATGAATTGGTCGAAGAGGGAGTACTTTCAGCGATCAGAAAGCCAAAGTATAATTTCAACCTGAGAGATTTCGAGCGCGCTATTATTGCTTTCTGGGCCACTAATGACCCATTCTTTATGCCTGGGAGGTACCGTGTCCAGTTTCATTTCATCACTCTTCAATTTCTATGCACAGGTTCTAGAGTATCCTCTTTCACGCCTGCATCAGTTGATAAAGTTGGACGAGGGCTCCGTTATAAGGTAAAGCTAATGAAATGGATCGATTGTATTTCCCAGGTGCTAATGCTAATCAGAACATTGAACTTGTTCTATTTCGTGCCGCCAATGCTCCTTGGAGGATTGGATGGCGGCTTGACCAGCAGTTCGTCAAAAATAATAAAGATCCCGTAAATAAAATGTATGCAACCCAGTACCTTATGGGTAGACTTACTTTATAAGTGCTTTAGATACTGATATGAAAACGATTAGGTTTGGCACTGCCATCTGGGATTGTGATGAACCCATTTATTCTGGAGGACTATTCCTCCTAGCTCTTGCCCTTGCGGACAATGTTCTCTACGGATTTTCATCTCCCGAAGAAGTCTTCGAGCAAAGAATTCCGGAGGGACAGGATGAACTATTTCTTAGATGGAATGAAGACGCCAAAAATCGATGCACTGTCAGAAAAGTCACAGCAGCAGGGGTTAGTGAGGATCCTTAACAAAGGAAATGTATGCAGCCGATTTTCGGAAGATCCTTGCAGATGCTTGTTACTTTGTAACTGCCACAGTTCACGCGATGCGGCGAGCCCTAGGAGCAGCTGTTAAAGGTCGGTGGTTATTTTATTCTCCTTTTGACTTGTTTCCGAATTGCTAAGATTATGCGCAGGCAAATACTTATCGGCTCACGTAGCGCAGATCCTTACACAGAAGTCCAAGACTGTCTACGGAAACGACTATCTCGCTAACTGTTCTGGTGTGGACGTGTTCAATGCTCTGGTGGGTAAACCAGCCGATAATACTCACATTGACTATTTTCAGGGATACAGTCAATTCCACGAACACGGCCTCCCACAATGATTGCCTATGGAAGAGGAACATAAGATTGATGCGGATCCGCAGCTGGTCACCAAAGCCACGGAAATCCGCAATGCAGAGTCTGACGACGATATCAAGCGCCTGAAGTGTGATTACAATATCCTAAAAAGAAAGATTTATGCTAGCATGTATCAGCAGTTCCAAAGTGAATGGGTCCAGAACCAGCGTGATTGGAAAATATTGACCAGAGGCCGAGAACGCCCCGATTTCGTTGAGCAAACTGCAGAAAACCAGGCTCAATGCAAAGTCATGCCCGAATTAGGTCATCTGGCGGCTATCATGTCGTCTAATGTACCTCGTTCATTTGACGAAAAGGCAGCTGTTGTGAGGATCTATACACTCAGTGTCTCCGTGACTTTGACGTGGTTTACCGTCCGGGAGAGGAGCCAGTCGAAGGCCTATGTCCGGTGGCTAGTTGTAGCCATTCACTGGAGATGTAAGCCTTGTATATAGACCTACATATATCTTTTACTGATGTTTCTGCAGGTTGGAAAAGCCCACGAGAAGCAACCACATCCATACTTGCGTTCGTCAAGAAGTTTCTCGTACCATGGGGATCGCCCCCCGACAGGTCAAGTATTGCTGGGAGTGCTATACCTTCTTTGATAGAGAGAGCCTGGAATTCGAAAGGCATTGTGCAAGCCATCTCTTATCGATGACTAGTCAGCATTACAAGGTGATGGTGTATCGCCATACCACCATTGTTGAGCGTACGCCCGTGAGAGTATTGTAGAAGTTGTTCCTTTCATTGTGTTGGAATGTAGGCCGATAAGCGTCAGCGCTCACCGCTTTTTGGCAGAATGGCCGGGTAAGCACTACAAATCCGTCATCTTTTTAAAGGCTGTGTCCCCAAAGCAAAACTAGCTAAGCAATTTAACTGACCATAGCGACTGTAAGTGTAAGAAAAGTAATCAAACGCAAAAGCTATTCGTAGAGACAGGAAAAGTAGGAAAACACAGAAGCTATTGCTGGAAGCAGTTTCAATAGTAGAAGAAAAGGGATCGCTGAGGATTGCTCAAGCGGTGCGTAGGCGTAGAAGGATGTTAAGGTAATCGGTATTAGGAGTAAAAGATATGGGAGAAGATAGAAGGATCACTTCACTCTACCCTCACTACTGCCCTTTACTCTATTCTCGTACTCTTTGATGGCTTCCTCGGCCCCATCGAGATTCTTAATCGGTTCCCAGGTATCGAATTCTGGCGGCCACCCGGCCCAACGAACTAAGTATTGTCTCTTTCCTCGAGAAACTCGCTTGTCGAGTATACATTCGACTTCGTATCGATCTGTTTCGTCTGGAAACCGTTCTTCCACTACCGGTGGAGCCTTGGAGGTGTCCTTCCAAACGGGTCCTTCGGATCAGTCACAGCCTTTTCCAAGTGGACTACTGAGACAACAGGATGTATTTTCCATGTGTTAGGCAGTTCGAGCTCGTAAGCAAGCTTTCCGACTCTGCGGAGCACCTTGAACGGGCCTGCTAACTGACGGCTAAACTTTCTGCTGATTCTCCTGTTCGCTGGCAGATTATATCCCCGGTGTAGCTTTAAGCATACTTCATTTCCCGGTTCGAACTCGATGGGCATATGGTTTCGATCGTAATACTGTTTCATTTGTATTGCTGCCCAGGTAAGCTCTTGTTCAGCATCTAAGCGTGATGTGAAATCCTGTTGGAATATTCGGCGGAGCATTGTCCAAAGAGTACGCAAGTTGATACCGTACATAAGCCGATGTGGCGAGTAACTGGTCGCTGGCTTTATTGTGGAATTTAGTGAAGCTTGGATGGTTCCCAGTATATCTTCCCATTTCTCTGCTTCAAGAGGTTCCTTAGTAAAGAATTGTCTGAGCATTAATTCAACAGTCTGGATGCTCCTTTCTGACTGTCCGTCAGACTGCGGATGCCAAGCAGTCGTGTAATTCCAAGCGGCACCCAGTTGTTCGAACATCCCCTTCCAGAACGTACTCATAAAGCGCACGTCTCGATCAGAGATAAAGTTTCGGGGCACTCCCCAGTCACATCGCTAGAACATTCCAACCAAATCCCGACCCCACTGGTCGGCTTCCCACCTTGACGAGCCCGGTATAAACCCAATCTGCTTTGTAAACTTGTCAACGACCACCAGCAATTGATCGTTTCCTTGGGCTGAGGTAGGCAAGCGAACAATAAAGTCCATGGTAAGCGTATGGTATGGCTCGGGAGCAGTAAGAATCGGGTTGAGGAGCCCGTAAGGCTTGTGTCGCGGTGGCTTATTTGTTTGGCATGTCGGACAGTGGTCAATATACAGCCTAAGTAGTCGCGAAGCCTTGTACACGGCCAATCCTTCTAATTTCTTTATGCATGCTTTGAAACCCTGATGTCCTTGATGATCGTGGACTTCCCGGAATACATCATCCACTATTGAGCGTGGTATGTACAGCCAGTAATCACCGCTGTGCTTGACCATGTATACAAGGTTGTCGACAAGGAATAGGGCATCACTCTCGGGTCTGGAGTTGGTTCGCGTTGCTGAAGCACTTCTAGGATCGCTTTCGCTCGCGGGTCGGATTGGTAACCAAGCTTTAACCTTGTTATAAAGTCATCCGAAAGCTGTAGTTCAGATACTGCGAGATTATAGGCGCTTGACGCCCATAAGGTATCCAAATCAAAGACATTATCAACAGACAAGGGCTTGTCGGTCGGAAGGCGAGATAAAGCATCGGCCACAGTGTTTTGAATCTCCTGGTCGATGTACGATCCTTAGCGAGAACTGTTGGATATATTGCGATGCTCGTATCAGGCGTAGGTTTAGCTTATCTGTAGAGGTCGTTCGCAAGCTGGTCTGCTTGCAGATCTGGACAGTCGCCGAGTGATCTGTGTATACCACAGGCGGCAAGTGCTCTGGTGCTGTTTCGATGAGATGTCGGATCTTCTTAATTACCCATACGAGACATGAGACTTCCATGTCTGTCGGCCAATAATTGTATTCTGCTGGTGTTAGGCCACGGCTGAGAAACAACACGGGTTCAATTGCTGTTCTTGCTGGTGGCTTCTGTATTTCGACATGTTTATAAGCGGTCTTTAAATGGTAGACCATAGCTCCGTGACCGAATTCTTTTGAGCTGTCAAGCTCGATGTACAGTCGACAATTGGGATCGTGGTGTCGTAGGAATTTCGGATTGTCAAATTCCTTTTGGGGTGTCTCGAAGGCTTCATGCTCTGAGGGCGTAGGATAAACCAAGGTGCGAGCGGATCTGGTAGCCCTCGGCCGTCCTTTGGTAGGACCTCCTTTGAGTAGTAGTGTCTTGAGATCGATAAGCGGTTTGGCTTTGCTGGCGTATCGTGCTATATAGCTTCGAAAACACCCAGCGAGTCCTAGGTAGGTCTCCAATTGCTTAAGTGTGGTAGGAAATTGTAGTTGTCTGATCGCAGCCAATTTCTCGTCGGTAGTAGTTAATCCCAGTCCGTCCACTCGTTGTCCTAGTAGGACAATTGATGGGTAACCTATGAAAGCTTTCTTTGGTTCCAAAGTGATGTTCATATCTTCCAGCTTACCGAAGACTTGGCGTAGATGATTAATGTGTTCGTCGAGGGTCATTGAGGCTATGACAATGTCATCGATATATGCTCTGCAAAAGCGTTTGAACTCTGCCAGCGTAAGGTCGAGTTGTCTTTGTACATATGGCACAGAGTTCTTGAATCCCATAATTGCTACCTTGAATTGTTCTTGTCCTCGGTGAGTGACAACTGCTAGTCGACGACGATGCTTCCTTTTGACACGCCACTGGTAGAACCAATTTCGAGCGTCTACCACCGATATATAGCGTTTGTCTCGGAGCATATTAATAATTTCCGACTGCGTAGGAACTGGATATAGATCGGACACAGTTCCTTATTTAGCGCACCAATGTCGACTACAACCCGTGACTTTCTGAGGGGTACTCCGTCAGGACCAGGTATAGTCTTCCACACAACGAATACAGGGTAGGCGCTTGGTGTCAGGCCCTGGCAGGTTTTCAACTTGTCCTGCTGGTGCAGTTCGTCAAACATTTTATCGATTATAGCCTCGTCTCTTGGGTTATTTCGATATATCTGAGGCTTTGGAAGACGATCCTCCCAGCCGTGTTTCAATGGTACCTCCATCCACGATTCTTCAGGGACTCTGACAGTACCCACTCCGTCTTTTCCCCAAATATTGTATTGATTGATAATTGCCTCGAGCTTTTCCTTAACAAGGGGCGATCCGTAAATTGTTATCCCATTAGCTAGGCGTGTTGTAGTTTATCAAGATTTCCCATACAAAGTGGGCCACAACTTTTCGCCAACTTCTCCGCAGATAGCGGACGTCCGGCCAATGGCAAAGTCAGGTTGGTCAACTGGCGACCCCGCCGACCCGCGGTGTCGCCGACTCCCCGGCGTGCTCCGACGCCCTGGAGGGCTCTGCTGCGGTGCTTTAAGGCTGATGGAGCCCCTGCTCGGCTCTCCGAGGCTATCTGGCACGGGGTCATAGAGTGGTGCTGGCAACCCGGTCTACCAATATATATATAGTGGTGTGG